CTCAAATACAAGCATTCCGAGATACTATAGATATTTGCATGTTGCAAGATTTGGGCTACTCGGGGCACTTTTGGACCTTTGAGAAAAAAGTTGTTGGAGGAAGCTACACAAGATGCAGGTTGGACAGAGCATTAGCTAATGCGGGATGGATGAACAAGTTTCCTATGGCCTCTGTTTCACATCTCACATGCGCCACGTCGGATCACGCACCGATTTTGGTGGAGTTCGGAGATACAGATCGGTTGCTAGCACAGAAATCTTTTAAATACGAGGTGATGTGGGAATCACATGAAGGTTTTAAGGATGTGGTTCTAGCAGATTGGGAAGCTAGCCCTCCATGTCTGTCGGTGGAGGATTTGAAACAAAAACTGCAAACCATCTCACAGGGCCTAGTTAAATGGAGCAGAGACACTTTCGGCAGCGTCCGGAAGGAAATAAAGAGGCTTAAGAAGGAGTTGGAAGATCTGCGAGCCGATCCAGCAAGGATAGCTCCCTCACATAATGAGTTGAAAATAAACCAAAATTTGATCGAGATGTATCATCGTGAGGAAGTTATGTGGAGGCAAAGATCCAGGATAGAATGGCTCACTGCGGGCGATCGCAACACGAAGTTTTTTCATCTACGAGCCAGTATCCGAAGGAAGAGAAACATGATAAAAGCCCTCCAAAATTCCCTCGGGGTAGTGGTTGATGATCCTGCTGAACTACGGGCGTTGGCCAATGAATTCTATCACAATCTGTACACTTCGGAGGGTGTACAAAACATGGATGCAGTACTTGATCATGTTCCGAGGAAGGTGTCAGCAGAGATGAATGCCTCATTGTGTGCCCCTTATACGAATGAGGAGGTTAAGATCGCCCTCTTTCAGATGTTTCCAACAAAAGCGCCGGGGCCCGATGGTTTCCCGGCTCATTTTTACCAAAGACACTGGGATGTGTGTGGAGAGGAGGTAACAAAAATTATCTTGAGTATTGTCCGGGGGGAGGAGAGTCCGGAATGCATCAATGATACGGTTTTGGTGCTCATACCCAAGGTAACAAGCCCCACTGCTTTATCTCAGTATAGACCTATCAGTTTGTGCAATGTGTTATACAAGATAGCATCCAAGGTAATTGCAAATAGACTGAAACTCATTCTGCCAGACATTATCTCTGAGGAGCAGTCCGCTTTCGTCCCCGGAAGGTTAATTACTGACAATATAATTTCAGCTTATGAGTGTCTGCACTTTATGAAGCGGTCTAGATCAAAATCAAATAATTTTTGTGCACTGAAATTGGACATGATGAAGGCCTATGATCGGGTAGAGTGGACATATCTGAGGGCTATCATGACTAAACTTGGGTTTGCAGGACAGTGGATTGATACTGTGATGAGCATGGTGTCTTCGGTATCTTTCTCGGTAATGTTCAACGGAGAGAAGCTCGAATCGTTCCAACCATCGAGAGGAATCCGACAAGGAGATCCAATCTCCCCCTACTTATCCTTGATTGCAGCAGAGGGCCTTTCGTGCCTCCTTAAATCAAGTTCTTCGTCATCGTTTGCAGGTATTCAAGTGGCCCCAACAGCTCCCACCGTTAACCACTTGTTGTTTGCAGATGATAGCCTGTTGCTATTCAAGGCCAACGTAGAGGGTGCAGGTGTGGGATCAAACTTGCTCGAGACCTACTGCGCAGCTTCGGGGCAGAGAATCAATCATGAGAAGTCTTCAATTTTCTTCAGTAAGTCGTGTCAGGCCACGTTGAAGGAATCAATAAAAAACACCTTGCATGTGCACAAGGAGACTTTGAATGAACGCTATCTAGGCATGCCAACCGATGTGGGACGTTCGAAAAATGGCACGTTCAAGTACTTGAGAGACCGGGTGTGGGAGAAAATCAAAGGATGGATGGAGAAGCTGTTGTCCTCAGCAGGTAAAGAAGTGTTAATCAAGGCTGTGGCCCAAGCGATACCAGTCTATTCTATGTCCTGTTTCAGGTTGCCAAGAGGCCTTTGTGAAAATATAACCTCAATCATACGACAGTTTTGGTGGGGAAGCAAGCAGGGGAGAAGAAAGCCCGCATGGGTGGCTTGGGATATTATGACAAGCCCGAAAAGTTTGGGAGGATTGGGATTTCGGGATATGGAGATCTTCAACTTAGCTCTACTAGCACGGCAAGCGTGGAGGCTGCTAACGGGGGAACTGAGCTTAAGTGCCAGGATTTTAAAAGCTGTTTATTTCCCGGAGGTTTCTATTCTTGAGGCGGAGCTTGGGTCACACCCTTCTCAGGTTTGGCGCTCGATCATTGACGGTCGGGATGTTTTGATACAGGGTACTGTGAAAAGGATTGGAGATGGCGAGTCCACTTATATCTGGAGACACAATTGGATACCGAGGGAGGGAGTAAGAAGACCTATCACATCGCTAACGCAAAACCCTCCGATCATGGTCTCCGAGCTTATAGATAGTACCACGGCATCGTGGAAAGAGGAGCTGATTCGAGCATCCTTTGCTCGGTTTGATGCCGATGATATTCTGAAGATACCACTGTGTACTCGCAAGGTTGCGGATTTTTGGGCTTGGCAGGAGGAACCAAGAGGAATTTTCAGTGTTCGGTCCTGTTACCGCATGATCCTCAGAACAAAGCATGAGCGGGAGGCCTGGCTGAGCGGAGAAGCGGGTACTTCTATTGTGCAGCAGGAGGCGGACAAGTGGAGTACTATTTGGCACATGCAGGTTCCATCGGAACTACGCATGTTCGTTTGGAGATTGGCGAGAAACTCCATGCCCACTATTGATTTGCTCAAACATCGCAATATGGCCACCGAGGACAAGTGCCCTTTGTGCGGGGCGGTTGACTCTTGGAGACATGCACTCTTTATGTGTCCGATGTCAAGCAGCGTTTGGGCCTTAGCTCCGGAGGAGTTGGTTCATCATCTCGTGGACAGAGTGGAAGAACACCCCAAGGATTGGCTTTTTGCTATGAGTGGAGTGTTGAACGGAGATATGTTTGCACACATGATTGTTATTATGTGGGCAATTTGGCGAGCACGAAGGAAAGCGATCTATGAGGACATCTTCCAATCACCGCAATCTACTTGTGGATTTATCACAAGCTTTCTTGATGACTTGAGATATATTAAGGCAAGGGAACCTCGGAGGACCGTAGTCAAAGCTGCAAGACCAACCCAGTGGCAGGCTCCGGCCACGGGATGCGTGAAGATCAATGTGGACGCGGCCGCACCAAGGCAAGCCCGTTTCGGGGCTGTGGGTGCAATCTGCAGAAGTTTAGATGGTCTGTTTTTGGGAGCTTCGGCGCTGATCATAGAGCATATTGGGGACCCGGAAACGCTGGAGGCCATGGCGATCAGAGAAGGCCTTGCACTTGCGGAGGACTTGTACCAAAGGCGCATTCATGTTGCATCGGATTGCAAGAAGGCAGTAGACTCTCTGAAAAAGGAGGACGCATCTCCATATGGTGCTATTGTGCATGAAATATTAAGCCATTCTGCAACTTTTGATATGTGTAGGTTTAGCCATGAGTTTAGGAGCTCAAATTATGAAGCTCACAACTTAGCGAAGCATGCTTTATCTCTCGGGGGTGGCCGCCGTGTATGGTTAGGCCATCCCGGAGATCTTTCTTTCGTCCCTGTAAACATTGTGACGAATCAATAAAAAGCTTCGTGTGTTGTCTCAAAAAAAAAAAACCTGTTATGCTAGAAACCGAACACGTTCTTAGAGCAACTCTCACCATATAGCATAGACTGCCATAATAATGACTTTGGCCGAAAAACACACTCTAGCAGAGTAATGACATTGGATCAGGCAATATGGAGCTCATGTTATGATGACTCTTTGCTTACGCGCTGGTGCACCGGATGCACCAATGGCTTTTGAGCCATTGGATATGACACAGAGGGTTAGGATTAGGCTCGAGAATGAATTGGTAGAATATTTGACATCATGTTATGCTAAAATTAATTAATCCGCGCTCTACTCTTTCCTCTCCCATCATTGAATCAATGTTATGTACTCTCTTTCTCCAAACATAAATGCATTCATATCTTTTTTTAGGGATAAATACATTCATATCTGTTGAACCATACGTCTAAATCAGCTTTGCTACCACTAGTTTTTTTACGAAATGTTCAAAACAAGATCAATGCCGAATATATTTTGAAATTGATGTATTTTAAAACTTAACATAACAATTACAAGCTTTTAATTGTCTTGTAAGTTCTGTAACCCTGCCTCTCCCTCTCCCTCCACACATCAATCCCACATGCATTTGGTTAATAAGATCCAAATCAAGTTTCAAAAAACAAAAAGAAACATATTCAACATTGATCTTGTTTCAAATACCTCGTCAAGACAAAAGTTGCCAGTCAAAACATATTAAAAATCAAGACATTCGGTTCAAAACATATGGCCATCTTTGTGTTCGAATTAAAAAATTGAAGACACGGATTTATTGATGAGAGAGTGGGATGTAAAGTGCAGGCCTGATATACTAAACTATAAAGTTGCTTTTGCAAATTTGATATGGTCCAGAATTTGACCCATTGCCTTCTCATCTAATGGTCCAAAAGCCATTGATGCACCTGGTGCATAGATTGGGTTGGTGCACCGTATATGGTCTCCAGGCCTGAGAGGAACCCTACTGTTAATAAGTTTTATTCTCGGGTATTTGCCACCAAAGACTTGACAACAGACCAACAGTAATATGCACAGATAAATAAAGTTTTACAATTTTACCCAGAACAGAAAACACAGGTGCACAAAGGTTACACAGTATCTTGACAAAGCAACAGGCTGTAAGCAGTAGTGAAAAAACATATAAGACATGCTTACTTAGCATAACAGGCTATGGGGGGTGGGGGTTAAATTGAATACTCCTACTTGAGCGGTGACAACAGGCATCTCGCGGCCGGTTTCTTCTTTCACTGGATATGCTGTTCTTCCAGTTTATCCTTTCACTGGATGTGCTTGCTATTCTTCCTCCATCTCTGTGGAGCGCACTGCTCAGGAGGAGTCGTGAGCTGGGCTGTCCGAATGCATGTCCATGGATGAGTCGTTTGAAGCCGTGGGATTCGGCTCGCGGGCTAAGCCGTTCGCAAAGTAGCCTGCATCCCCACCCTGATCCAGATGGTATGGTTGCAGGCCCCGGCGCACGGGGCTGGATAGTGCGTTAGAAAAGACCGCCGAGTTCTTGGGCTGCGTCAACCCTGGGTTTCCTAGTGCAAATAAGCTTGCAGATGGTTGCTGGTTGCTTGTGTTGGGCATATGCACAGTAGCATGAGTGCTTTGGCTTGCATATTGTGATCTTGGAGAGGCCAATGGATTGTCGCCACCATACTGAATCTCATGCTAGACAAACATACAGATCATAAACATAAGTTATCAATCTTATGCTAGAATGGCGCAAAAGGATAAAAGTGGTGCAACTAGTATTTGTTAGGGGGCTATGGCTAGAGGTATGGATTGATAAAGGAAGCAATATGTGCACAGGATCAGTGTTGTGTGTAAGGATGGTAAGCTCATCTTGTTCATTATGCATCATTGTTCACTAAGAAACAAGATGGCAAAACTTGATATACCAGTCAGACCATCATGGTCTGTGAAATTGAAATTCACCCAACTTCTTGAAGTCCATGTTTTAATTATGAATAGTTCCCTTCCAATATAGAAGACAGGAAAAAAAATACTGCTAACCTGGACGTGCGAGGCTATATCACCAACTGTAAGCCTCAAACCATTTTCATGCTGTCTTAAGATCCATTCATACAGCTTTTCCTGCTCAAATGGAACAAACAATAATGAAAAACGTCGTGAAAAAAGGAAAGAGAAGAAAGAACAGATTTCTGCCAACCAAAGAAAGAACTTTGAAAAGGTGGAAGGTGCTATTCTATAAAAGAAAATACAACTGCTTCTTGCTAGCAGGTACAATTCCTGATGGATTCCACGCGTTGGCAGGATTAAATGGTTCAACACTTGGGACGTATACCGTTGTCTAGAATCACTATGTCATGTGGGGCCTTAATATAGCCGGCACCCGCATGAACGTGCAGTGCACAACTAGCACAAGAAAGTTAGGCGCCCAAGCAGTTAGGATAAGAGAAGAAAGCAAATAGGATAAAAGTTATCATTAAGAATATGTTAGTAATTTGAATCCTAAATAAGATTTAGATTGACTCGTATCAGATTCGTATTTTGATTGTTAATACATCTCTCCTTTATACGAGAGCAATCATGCGATGAATTAATCCCCTGTATACTCGTACAAACTTTACTTTTTTATACCAACTCCTACAAAGTTTAGTACTTTACTGATTCCTCATCACCTCACGACATGGCTGCTGCAACCATGGCCGGGGGTTGAGGACAATGACCCAACACGGCTGTTCATTACATACAAAAGCCTGTAAATATGACACGCAAATTTTCTTCTGTTCCTTCTATTGACACTTTTGCAGCCAACATTGTGAAGTACCGTGTGTGTTAAACATATATGGCATGCATAGTCATAAAGTTGGTAGAAATTATTCATAACTCAAAGGTAACATGTTAAAAAAACATATAGTTTGCAGTCCTGAAACAAAAATTAAGATACTCAGGATGTATCCAATCCTGACAGTAGTTCATTATAGGGAGAAGTTGCAATACCATACATCAATGCTATGATTAGTTTTAAGCGTTGGTAATTAAACTCTGGTCAAATCCCACATTATCTGTATAGATGAAACTATTTAGCTGGCGTTTAACAGCAACAGTCATCAGAACAACATGACGATGATCATGACAAATAAAGAAATCTTATTAGCAAAAATAACGACCTAGCTGTTCAACCACTCTGCAATGTAAACCCACTATAAAATATAAGTCATATGAACACAAGTGACCAAACCACATCCGGACTTTACACTTGCCAGTTTGTAAATAAATGTTTGTATTGGTGCATCCTTTAGTGTTTCGTTTAATGAGTTGAGCAGATGATTCTCAGGAAAATATTTTAATGCAATTGACTTCTACTGCGTGCCATTGTAGTACTACGGAAACTAAAACTAGGAAGAGGGCATACAACATAGCGATGATGAACAACATGTAAGGTTCTGACCAGAACCACAACTTAAGATACTGATTCCAATGCCAAGGATGCCTTCCGTGTTTGGAAGAAGCACTACACACCTAACGGTGAGACTTTCCACATAGCAGTGCACTAGTTGAAGTAAAGCTGAAAAGGATGACTCCTTAGTACTAGCCCAGAAGCAACCTGCCCCATAAGCGAAGTCTCCCCTCTTCCGCTTTGCATACCCTCCATCGCCAAAGAAAGATGGCCAATTCTAATCAGAGTTGTTGTACGCAGCAGTACAAGAGTGCTCTATGAATTATTGGCTATTGCACATCAATATATTATTCAGCGATGTCAGAGCACACACTGTGACAAGGAACTTCGGCAAAAGTCATCATCCCCCACCCCCCAGAGAAATACTCAGAATTGCCACACGTAACTGCAAAGGTTGAAGCAGAATTTGCAGGTAAACGGAGGAAATATGCCCAAAACTGAAACAAATTTCATCACGCGTCCAGCGAAAGGCCCATCTCGCTTGCCCCTGAACGATCTAATTACAAGAACAATCTACACTCGCCACAACCACAAAGGATAAGGCTCTAGCACTCAAATTCCTCATCGTCCGAGTCTTAACCGCCCCTAATCCAAATTACTTTCACCACAAGAAGGGGCGAATTCAACGAAACAAAATCCAGTCTCCCACACCACTGACACAACACAAGTCAGAAACAGCAGCAGCGCACGAATCAATCAATCAATCAATCCGTCAGTCAATCATCAGTTTAACCAACAACCACGCCATGAAAGAAACAGTCAAGTCAGAACGTACCATGGCGTGGCGCTCGCCGGCCTGGAAGGAGAGCTTCTGGCCGCCCATGGCGAGCGTGTAGAGCTGCGAGAGCGAGTTGGCGGCGCCCCGGAACGCGCCGTACATGGCCCGGTCCGTCTCGTCCAGCCGCGCCGCCTCCGCCTTGCGCTTCTTCCCCGTCATCTCTCCCCCGCGTTCCTCCGAGCCCCGATCCGCCGCGGCGCCGTCCAATTCGGCCCGAATCGGCCGCCGGAACCCTAGACGAGTGAGATGCGCGCGAGGCCCTGGCGCGGAGACGAGGGGGGCGAGGAGGAGGATGGATGGAGGTCGGGAGGGCGTCGCGTCGACACGAAGCGGCGGCTTTACGTCTGTAGGTCTCCTCCCACCCGCTTTATTTTATTTATTATTATATTTATCCCGTGCCGCTCTTGCTTTATCGCTGCGGTGGGCGCGCGTCGCTGTTGTGGTGTGGATGGCAGGCGGGCCCGGGGCCCGCCTGGCGGCGAGCGAGGGGAGGAAAGGGGCACGTGGAGTGGGATTGGGGGTTTGGCGCACGTGAGGCTGATGCGACTGGGCCGATGGGAGAGGGGACTGACGGGTGGGGCCACTGGGGGACGTCTGTGTGGGGCATGTCCTACTCGGCGGTGTGTGTTTTTTAAGGCTCGGAGCTTTCGTGCCGACTCCTTTTTCTTGTCAGTTGTTTATACATCGATATCCATTGGATTGGTACCCTAATCAATCTTTTTTTAACCCTCATAAGTGTCACACGGCGACGAACACATGGCAACTTCAAACTTTTTTATGAAAAATGTAATGACGTAATGATGACAACTTTAGTTGTCAAGCATGACAACTTCTTTTCGAATGGCAAAAGGAAGAGAGAAGGGGGGGAGGGGGGTCATATCGCTATTTTAGTTGTAAAAAAGGTATGGGTCAAAGTGTCACACAAGTGGCATTTATCATTTGGGTGTTTTTTATCTTATACTAAATCAGGGACAATTATTATGGCTGAGACTATGAGAGAGAGCGTGGGTTGCTATCCTGCATGTAGAAATAGTATTGTGCATCACTAGACAAAAGAAATTAGTGGCATCATTGATTTTGCTCATGTTTCTGATGACTTTGTTAATTTTAGAAACTCCATGACTACAATCTTCGATAGATGTTTGTGTGAGCGACGTGTGGTGATGGTGATAGTAATGTTTCCATGTTGTACTCGGTGTTTCTTGAAAATAAAATATTGAGCAGAAAAAGGAAAAAGGAAACTCTAAGCAAGAGTGTGTTTGAAGGGCATAGATTCTTTTATTTTATTTTTCAAATAACCACGTATATATTTCATTAGACAAACGGATTACAAAAAAGTACACATATGGTCCCCACAAAAGGTACATAGATATCTTGCAATATTGTATCAATGACTCCGCAAGAAGTAAAATTAGAATTTCACTCAGGCAGAATCTTGAGCCATGTTGAAGACGATGCCCAACATCGTCCTTCGCCGCCGTCGAGGCAATGTTAAAGAAAGAGAGGAATTGCCATCATACTTAGATTTAGAGGAGCACATCCGCATACAAGGATGCTTCTTGAGGCGATAAACTGGACCGCCGCAAGTGACAATACCAAATTAGTGTTCATTATGCACACTTCTGTAAGCAAGCAGAGGAATTAAGCAAATTATTTTTTGATAGAATTAAACAAATTCTTGTGATTCAAACATCTTCGCGTGGGCTCTCTTTGGAACTAATGAATTTTAGAGGATTCTAATCCTAATAAAAATATGTTCATTATGTGTGTATCATAAGATAAATTACATGAACTCCCTAGGATATATTGATCATGTCGTGAAATGTATACTCATGTACTGTCATATCCATTTGTCATACCTCCCGGATTTAAAAAATGCCCTGAATTTGTAGATGTTACAAGATAAATCAGGGATATAAGCCATGTACAAATGTGCCAGATGCTTGATGCGGTTTTAATTTTATTGTTATTTTATTTGAACTAACATATGCATATGTGTTTCATGGGATTCTTAGTACATATGAATAGGAAAAACAAGAAGTAGATATAATGAGACATCTTCCAATCTCAAATTTGATACATTGCAATGAGCAATATGTGGTGTTTGTTGTTTGTTTGCACAACATGAAACACACACACACACACACACACACACACACACACACACACACACACACACACACAGAGAGAGAGAGAGAGTTCAACTGATATAACAAACGAATTGTGAATTTCATAGGAATTTAAGATCGTTTGATTCATCTATATTTTTTCCTGTGTACCTTGTGTGTTTTGCAAGATTAGAGACCACAAGAATTTTTCCAGTGAATTATTATAAGGGCAATTCCATAAGAAAATCATCATAGAGTCTAACCTCACAAAAAAATGTGTGTGTGTCTGAAAATTGTGTTAAACAATTAATCCTTGATTCTTCACAAAATATTCATGTGTTTCTTCCATGGCCAACCAAACAAGTTCTATTACATAACTTGTTGTTTCGAGTTCCTACAAAAATCAATGCTCGCAATATTCAATTTCTAATTTTTCATATAAGTTTGTTCGAAATCATGTGAATCAAAGAGACACCGGATGAATTATATTTTTCTTTCGAATTTAGTGCAAATTGTTAGGGTAAATTCATCGATTTCAATCCTGCAACGAGATAAACTCTGTATAGGGCAACTACCCAAGGATTGAAACTGAAATTCATTGAATCAAATACGTCAAATTTCCAGTACTTGATGTTCTTCAACTTATACATACTCCAATGATATCAGTAAGTAACAAACTCATTGAAAGTTATTTGTAATGAATTATGCATAGTTTGTCTATAATTGCACAACAACTTGACTCGGGTTAGCATAGGTCAAGAACACGCAAGCGTGTGGACAAGAGTATAGTGCCCTCACCTACGGTGTGGCTTCATCTATACAGAACAAGACTAATCGTGTAAAACTAGACTGGAAATTCCAATGAATGTTTCTTTGAAAGATTTTTTTTTTAAACCCAATGCTTTGACATCCGATTATTGCCGTCCATAGCGCCATCATCCTCGTAGTATTGTGAATGTTTATGGTTCTTCATATTTCTTATTATGTGGATCTGACTATGAATTTAAATTTGTGCAGCGTATATTCAAAATTTTGTATTGTTTCCAAGCCCGGTCATTAGTGATCTTTTGTGCCATTTGGTCTAAAAAAATCATGTACTCCTAGAGAAGCATCACGGGGGATGGGATGATCACAAATAAGAATAATCGCGGAAATTGCTTTTGGAGGCCGAGCTCCATGAAGGCCTCCAAATGCAAATTTTGAAATAAGTGAAAATTCATATTTTTTTACATTTTCAAAAATTTCTGTAAAAAATATAGAGATAGATGAAGGCAAAGTGCACAAGTGTGTAAATTTTCAGGACGAAATACGTTGAAATGAAGGTTGTGCAAAAAAGACAAATCCGAGGCTTCACACTCCTAGACCATGAATTTATCTTTTTTGTAAAGGTCGCAATTCAACGTATTTCATCCTGAAATTCTACACACGTACGCCTGCTTGTTTACCTGTACACGTTTTTTCAGTTTTTTTTAAACCCAAATTTTTTGAATTTTGAATTTTGCAAAAAATCGGCCTCCATGGAGGCAAAACGCCATTCTCAAATAATGGACACTATCTATATTTATATCTATCGGTACTTTTACAAAAAAGTCCCTCAGTTTCTGAGAATTTAAGGCGCAGTCCTATGTTAAGTGTTTTCTGAAGATAACGTTTCATTTTTGCAAACAAGACCCTGCATTAGTTACAATTCCATCAGTGCTCCTTAATCCTTATCCATTGCCATCCTCCACCTCCCGGCACGCGCTGCCGCTTGCCGCCGGCGTCCACGCCGCAGAACTCAAGAAAGTGTGATGCGTCGCAGCGGGCGTCCCGACCGCCCGAGCCCATGAACGGGGTGAGGCGTCGCGGCGGGCGTTGGAGACCACAGAGGACAGGAAGTCGCTGAACGTGGCCTTGGCCGGCACAGGGACGAGCTCGCGGGCGCGCTTGAGGCAGGCGAGCCTAGCCCGCAAGTCCTCCTGCTGCTTGGCGATGCCCTTGGCCTTCCTGCGGGCCTTGTCGGCCTCGGCGCTGGCCTTGGCGGGCCGAGGCGTCGCGGTGCAAGTGGCCTTCGTGCTCTCTTGGGGAAAGGTGCGCGCCACGCGAGGGCGGTGCGACGAAGGAAACAAAAAGAGAGACAATAGAAACCAGGGATCTTGAAACCTCGCAGGCCCACGCTCACCAAAGACCTGCAGAACCTTCACTCGAGCAGGGCAGAGAGATGGCGGACAACGGCTTCGCGGCTGAGCTGGGCTGAGGCAGCTGCGTGGCCCACGCGGCGGACGAACGGGCGCTCCTCTCCGTCGTCCTCCTCCCAACGGTAGGCGAGGCAGGAAGGCGGCGGATTCGGATATCACGGCGCAACCTCCCTACTCAACAGTCAGAGAGCGTGGCCGACGAGCTGCCTGAGATGTGTGCATCGCGGCCTGAGATGGAGACCCGGATGCTGGCCGGGAGGGAAGGCGCAACAGTCAGAGAGCGTGGCCGACGAGCTGCAGTTGGAGGCGCTCGGCTTGGAGGCACGGTCGAGCTGGGGAGGGGAGAGAGCCCAGCGAGCGGGGAGGCGGAGCACGCTTGCGGGTGTAGAGTCTAGAGAGAGGGAGCGCCGGGGAAGGGAGAGCTGGCCGACGGCGACGGGGGTCTTGCAAGCGAGAGGAGAGAAGAGAAGGGAATCGATGGAGGCAAACGGAGTCTCGGCCACAGGCTAGAGAGGAGCAGCGTGGGGCTTATCCCCTTGCATGCGTGTGTGGCCTGAGGCTTATCCCCTCGCGTGCGTGCGTGTGGCTGTGGTCGGCGTCAGGATGCCTGGCAGCCATACCTGGCCAAACGGGCCGGCCCGGCATGGCATGGCCCGGCCCATCGTAATCGTGCCTGGCCCGGCACGGCCCGCCAGGGCACGATTACTATACGGGCCGTGCCGTTCTGGCCCGCGTGCTGCGCCCCCAGGCCCAGGCACGGCCCAGTTAGTAAACGGGCCGGCACGTTGACCTGTTTAGCACGGTGGGCCGCATATTTTCAGCCTGTTATTTGCCGCATTGAGCGTTTTTTAGCCTATTTTTATATACTGGGCCA